ATGAAGAGAAATCAGAGTTAACGATCTGGAATGTTAACTCTGATTTCTCTTCATAGTTGCTGCCAGACCTGCTAGGCTTTTCCAGCAACTTTTATTTTTCTTTCTGATTTACAGCATTTGCAGTTCTTTCGGCTTTTATTTAGCCTTCCTGAAATGTTCAGGGACCTTTTTCATTTGCTCTTGCTTTACTGTTCCACATGGATATTCCAGGCAAACCTAAATTACATCTTCTGTACACACCCACTTTGTAATTTTGAGAACATAAGCTCCTAAATTGAAATAAAACTTGGAGATTTGATTCCTTCAAGTAGGAAATGTGCAGTGAGTGTGTGTAGAAAATCTAACTTGTAAGCAAGACTGGAAAACAAGCACTTAATTAGTTTGTGTTACTTTTCCGAAAGCCATTTGCCTCTGTTCATGGTGATGATGATGCCATTTTCGACACCCCTAGATAGTTCTCCTGCAGGTGTGTTCTTAGTCCTGACAAAACATTTGCTGATAATGTGGGGAAAGAAGAAACACTCTTGAAGCGTGATTACATCATTAATTTACAGCACTAAACAGAATACCTGGTTGTAAAACAATGAAAGATACAAAGCTTCACTAACCTTTTTTATAACTTAATACTTGGACTAGAATCGTAATACAAAATCTGTACACAAAATGGAGTCCATCCCATAGAGTCTTCAAATATTCACTTTCATAAGATTAGAACAAGCAGAAAAGTTGAACTGGCCTAAAACTGCCAAAATTATCTATTTTCTTGCCTATGGTGATATCAAGAAAAACCTTTCTAAAGGAGTCACCATGTTGCTCAGATTGAAGTTTCACAAGATGTTGGAATTGTTGCTCTTTAGTCAAAGGCTATAATGACAGTTGACAGACCTTTTTGTAATCTGCGTGTTGTTAACATGACTGTGTAGCATTCAGACCTGTAAGACCGACCACAGATGAGCAGTTACTGGAACCCAGACAGGACATTTCTGACCACAAATGTCAATGTGGACTACCTTGCAAAACCAAGAAACCAGACAAATGCAAAACAATTTTACGCAATAATGCAAAAAGTCCAAGTGGAAGCTCCTTAAGATTCAAGGAATTTTAAAGATCTCTTTAACATAAATATAAGTCTGTCATCAAAAAGAAGTTGGACTTGTCACAAAGGTTCCGGCTCAGAAGCAGCAGGGCATCAACATAAAATGTTGGAATTATTTGAAGAAGATCTGGGGAGTTCTCCCAATTTTCTGGGCAACATACATTCTCTCAGTTAACAGATCATCTGGCCACTTATTTCAATATTGTATATAGGACTATGCTGTATCCAAATGGGATGGAACATGAGAACAGTAACATTGTTCGTGAACCACTTCAGAAATGCCCTATGGATGTGAAAAGTACTCGATTAATCATGTCTTTCTCTTTTGTAATTCATTTGAGAATGAGTCAAAGAAGTGAATGTCTTTCTAAGAATGACCTGTTTAAAAATCCAGTTACAAAAAGCGATTCCAAAGATGCAAATATACATTAAAGACTAATTAAGTTTCAGTTATATGTGGATCATAATGTAGGAATTAGAAATGTGAGGACAAAAATATACATAAGCCAAATCTTACTTATGTAATTAAGTCATAGAATCCCTGCAGTGCTGAAAGAGTCTCTGAAAAGCATCTACTCTTTGCCTGTAACCCTGCCTTTTCCCATGGCTAATTGACCTAACCTGCACATCCCTAGACACTATGGGCAATTTAGCATGGTCAATCCACATAACCTGCATGTCTTTGGACTGTGGAAGGAAACTGGAGCACCCAGCAGGGACCCATGCAGACACAGGAAGAACATGCAAACTTCATACAGACAGTTGCCCAAGGTTGGAATTGAACCTGGGTCTCTGAAGCAGCAGTGCTAACCACTGACCCACCATGCCACCCCATCTTTCCTTTCCATCTACAAAACATGTAAATCAATGAAGAGTCATGTCATTACATTTCACAATACCATTTTGATAATACCCTTAAAAGTTACAGATGCAGAACTTCCAGTTGATGGCAGAACTGTTCTGACTGATGCCAATCAGAAGTTGTTGGCTATAAGAATAATCTTTAGGGAAAACTATGCAGTTACCCTCCTGTATTTTTTTTATAGCCAATCTTCCGTTCTTGATTGTTCCCTGCAACCTCTGTCAAGACAGGCTGGTAGTCGTTGAAGTTATGCGGGCATGTGAAGCCACTCTGCATTGGCACCAGGGAAATGATTTAAGTGACGTAAAAGGCAAGGAGTCAAATAAAGAAGTATTCTGATATTTCTGTAGCATTTTTCAAGGACTACACAGCACTTTATTATTTTTCTGTTTCTTTTATACATTTAATGTTATTGACTAACTGGAGATGTAACAAGTTTTTCTTATTTAAAATTCAATATTATTCAATGATTCTCAATGAATGAGGGTAGGTGAGTGAGGTCAGTGGGATGGGGTGGAAGTTG